AGCCAGGGCCACAAAGAGATTGTAATAGATAGAGAGATTGGCAGAGAGAGAGAGAGAGAAGAGAGAGAGAGAGAGAAAGAGAGAGAGAGAGAGAGGCAGAGAGAGAGAGAGAGAGAGAGAGAGAGAGAGAGAGAGAGAGAGAGAGAGGAAGAGAGACGAAGAGAAAGGGGGTGGGGGAGGGAGAGAAAGAACGAGGGGCAAAAGAAACATTAGAAGAAGTATTCTGGTATGTCTGGGTTTGATTTGTTAAAAAAAAATTCAGAAAAGAGATAATTTTCGGCTTTACACGGCTGATTTGATTTGTTTCTGCGAATTTACGTTAAGGCGTAGCGGAGTTTTTTTCACGGATTTAGGAAAATGCGATTAGTCATTCAATGTAAATGTAAAAAAGTGGGGGAAACGTGCAGTTGTTGTTGTTGTTTTCCATTTTTTTAGGACAGAATCGTTGCGCTTTATGCCATTATATGAAAATGAAATCTGCGCTAAGTGTCAAAAACTTTTATCAGGCACGCCAATGCTCAACAGCAAGAAATCGCAAGTTCTTTGTAATAAAACACATAATGGCGTGATTATGTAACTCCGTAATGTGTGAAATAATGAGCTAAAAATAAGCGTTTGGCTTTCACTGTTGTTGTTGTTGTTGTTGTTTTTTGGGGGGGCGTGTTTGGGTTGTTGTTTTTTTGTACACTTAACACAAACGAGCATGTTACAGCCACAGAAATATAACATCCCGGAAAAAATATAAATGTAATAGAAGTTCCAAATTTATCGCTTTTAAAAACCACAGCTTTGCAATATAAAAACAAAATCTTTGAACTTTATGCTCTAAGTGTTTGTGAGTAAGCGTGTGCTTTGAAAATCACTGGTTTGTTTGAAGGTAACGTGGAACTTGTAAGAAATAATAATTACATTTGTTTGTTTGTTTGTTTAGTATAGGGTTTTACGGCGCTCGCAACTGCATAAGGTCATATGAGCGCGCGGGACACACCTAATACTTTTTCGTTGGTAGGAAATTTTGAATTTTGCCCGGGTGGCGGCCGAAGCCTACTCTTATCGATTTTAGGCCACCAAGGGATCTTTAACGTGCGCAACTTGCACACGGGCCCTCCGAGATTTTTCCCCCTTGTCCGAGAAGGCTAGGTGTAGATCTTTCCTACCAGAAGATCAGGGATGTGGCAGAAAGACAGCAGTTAGGAGGAGCCAAGGAGTAGCAGTAGAAAGGCTGCAGAAAGAATCAGGAGCCCAGAGGAGGGGGCAAAGGAGGTGAGGGGGTGGGGGCAGAAAGTGGAAATGAAAGCAGACAACAGAACATTGTTAGAGATCAGGAAAGAATGTGAAAGGAGACAATTTTAGAGAAGAAAATTTTTTGGTCGCTACCCGGAATCGAACCCGGGACCTTTGAATGAGAGGCCAACACCTTAACCTCTAGGCCACGAGAGCCCCCTAATTACATTTACATAGCGCATACCCACATACTAAAGCATGTTTTTTTTTTCTTTTCTTTCTTTGTTTTTTTTTAATTTTATTTTATATTTTTAAAATTTATTTTCTTTTCTTTTTATTTATTTTATTTATTTTATTTATCTTTATCTTTTTCTTTTTTTTTCTTCTTTTTTTAAATTTTTTTTTTTTTTTTGGGGGGGGGGGGGGGGGGGGTTAACGGGCTCGCAACAGCACAAGGTCATACGGGCGCGCAGAACATATTTAACATTTTCAGTTTTGATAGGAATTAATTTTGAACTTTCTCCGGATGGCGGCTAAAGCCTACTCTTATCGATCGTAGGACAAGTAAGGGACCCCCGAGAAGCTTTCTTCCTTATCCGATGTTAGATCTTACGTACCTTGAGATCAGGGGTGTGGCTGAAAGACGGCAATAAGAAGAAGCCAAGGAATAGCAGTAAAATGGCAGCAGAAATAGTCAGAAGCACAGAGGAGGGGGAAGAGGGGATGTGTCTTACAATTTGTAAATTTAGTTATATTAACGTGGCAGAATGTGGCTCCCCTTGAGAGAAAACTCTATGGCAGTCTTTCGGAGTTGAAGCAAACTACACAGTTTGTACGCGACATCGGACTGACTGTCTAGCTGCTGTCATCGAGAACGAGGAAGAAGAAGTTATATTATTTATGCATACTGTTGCTCGCCTTTTTAAAGTTTCAGATTAGGAAAACACAATTGAAAATTCTGTGTGACAAGCAAAGTTTTGCTTTTTTTCCCCAGCCCTATCCGTATGCCCTGGGGTCATTTTGTACCCCTGGGGTTGTATTCTTCACATTTTAGAATACTTCTAGTGCGAAGATCTCTACGAAACTTTACGTATTTCTCAAAAAATCATTTTGACAGATTGTTCTGTAAACCGTACGGATCGGATTAACGAGTAAATTTCCTCTGTGGAAAGTGGTGGCACGGAGTACCCCACGTTGTATGGATACGATAGTGAAACACGACGTACGGATAGGGTTAATGCCTCAAAGCGGCGCGTCTTGAAGCATCGGGTAATGATCAAAATGCATGCCCTCAGTGAGTTAAGAAGAAAAGATGCCCCCCCCCCCCACACACACACACATACATAGTCCTCTCTCTCTCTCTCTCTCTCTCTCTCTCTCTCTCTCTCTCTCTCTCTCTTTCTCTCTCTCTCTCTCTCTCTCTCTCTCTCTCTCTCTCACACACACACACACACACACACACACACACACACACACACACACAAACACACATACACAAACACAAACACACACGCACACACACACACACATCCCCTCCCACGCATACACACACATACACACATACATACACACACAAACACACCTAATCCCCTCTGGGGAAATGAACGGTCAACTAAGAGCCAACTCACCAAGATAGATGCTAATAGGTCCAGGATGACAGCATTCAGTTGTGAAATTTTCAATGCATAAGATTCATGTTTCACTTTGCTGATGAACACAGTCTTCTCAACCTAACTTGCTCAAGTAAATTATATGATGGAACGACACAAATTGGTTACCAATGTCTATACCTCCGGTGTCTGAAACCAATATCTAATCAATCAACGACCGGAGAAGTGCCTAAATACAGCGAGGTTTCTGGAATTAATCATTTGAGGGATTTCCCCCCTAATTTTCGTGTGTCAAATCAAAATCTTAGACCTAGAGTCTAAGTGAACTAACCCAAGCTATCAACACTATTATGTTCTTGTTGTAGCCGTAGCAGCTAAACGTGTTATTCTCAGCAACGTCTCCAAGGCTTCAATTCAGAAAAGACATAAAACACTTCAGAAAATGAATTCAGCAAAGATCGAATACGTTTAACAATTACTCATCCTGCCTCACAATAAATTTTATTCACAACTGCCCGCAAGAGAAAATC